GGGTTTCTGGGCACGTGCCCTCCAGCTTGGTTCTGTCGAGCCCAGGGCGTCCTTCTAGAGCCCGGAATCCACTGCAGCCAGTGCGGTGCCCACTGCAGGGGACGGTGCCCCCACCTCTCAGGGCAGCCCTGACTCTCACAAAGTTTCCCTTTTAATATCTGAACCAAAATCCAGCTTCTTGAAGCTTCCGCCCAGCGGCCCCAAAGAAATCTACTCCTGGGCCAGCCAGGGTCCCTTCCATTATGTGAACATAGTTCGTGTCTCTCCTGCCACCGTCCTTTGTTGCAGCTCTTCTCCCACTCACTTCAAAGGTTCCCTCCGTGACATGGGCTGTCCCCACGCCCGGGCTCCCTGCCCACATCTGAAATGACCTTCATCGGTCTATAACCATCGTAGCGTACGGAGCCCGGATCTGAACATACAACGCTTTCCGAAATGTAATTAATTCTGAGCAAATCAAATCCAATTTAAAATCAAGATCACCAATACTTTAATATCCAATGTTCCCAACGGTCTATTAAATAGGAGTACGGGTAGAGATGGGATACGTGAATTAAAAAAAAAAAAAAACGTAGTAACCACCTGCCCCTCTTTTATGGTGGTTAGAGGATGTTGGCTTCTAAGAGGCTCCCTCTTCTCAAAGTTAATCTCAGTGAGAAGGTGTCCTATGCCCGCCCAAAGTTAGCAGCCTCAGCTATCAGCACTGGGAGCAACCAGGCATCCATCACTCTCCTGGAGTACTCTGCTTTATGTGACATATGGTGTCACTCTCACAAAGAGCGCACTGCCCTAGCTTGTACCTCACATTTCCTCCACGCCACAAGGAAGGGGCTCGATCGCTTTTAATTTTTGACTCTTTAAATGACACGAATAGTTATACATGAGCCCAGTGACTGGCTTGATCATCCAAACATCTGCTCTAGGGCTCATCATATACATCATGCATATCCATACACAATCGAGTTGCGATTTGGAACTCCAAATATACATAAAGATAAGGAATTGTTTTATGTTTATACTTCTGAAGATCAGAGTATCTGCTCCTATACTCTGTATCTCACCCCATTCATTTTAAGTTATAAATATATGTAAATGACTGTTTGACAGGTTACAGCACCTTTTTTAAAAAATTTATTTTTGACAGAGAGAGAGAGAGAGAAACAGAAGGAGCAGAGGAGGGGCAGAGAGAGAGAGAGAGGGAGACAAAGAATCCGAAGCAGGCTCCAGGCTCTGAGCCAGTCAGCACAGAGCCCGACACGGGGCTCAAACCCACGAGCTGTGAGATCATGACCTGAGCCAAAGTCGGATGCTCAACCGACTGAGCCACCCAGGCGTCCTGGGTACAGCATCATCTGCCACTGAGTGTGGAGTTTAATCGTTGTTCTTCAGCATAAGAGAACTAGGATAACTAACCACGAATGCTGATGCTGCAAAAACCTGGCTAGAAGGGAGGTCCTTATTTCTATCAGGTAGACCGAGAGCCCCCGTGTGGACAGAGGGTTTCTGGCTTCTGAGGCAACATAAATACGGATGATATGCACTTTTAGCTCGTACTTTGGGAACACACACGCCACCGAGTTGAGGAACATCTGGCACCAGAATACTTGTGCTTGGCTGGGAGTCTAGGAAGGCTGTGTGGCGGGCTCCTTCCTGCACCCGGCTGGGAAATGATACCGAAGTGCGTTTAGGAAGCTCCGACCGCCCCGTTGGCCGGGCTTCGGTCAGGCCCTCGGGAGATGGTGCTGGGCAGTGCACACCCCTGAGCGAGAGGCTGCTGGTCTCCTACATTCCTGCAAGTCAGTGGCACGGACTTCCCCAGGGATTGCTAAGAGGCACGTAAGAGGCATGAGTCCCTGGCTTCCGTTGCCTCGTCTCTGCCTTTTCTGTCTCTGCCTTGAACCTGGACCTATGTGACTGGTGCTCTTTGGTTTCCAGTTGGGTTTAGTCGAAGCGGGGAGGAAGGGGATCGGAGAAATCAGGGAGAGAAATGAGGTTAGGGTGATCCTCTCGGGTCCCTCCCCACAGGCTGCATACGTCCCTCTCCTGAGGGTCGTTGTTCCCGACCGGAGGCGTTCTCCAGACAGCTCTCCCTCTGGGCCCTGATAACTGGCACCCCCCCCCCCCATTGGCCCCTGGGGTTCCACACCACCCCTATAGAGATATAATTAAAATTAAACACTATCCTCTAAAAAGCAAACAAGTACAGCTAGCTTTAACTTCAAAAACAGATGGTTCAGTTAGACGGTTTACACCATTTACCTAAAGGAGCTACTAGTTTGTTAAGACTGTTAAAAAAATATCGTGTATCATTGAATCTAAAATGACCTCAATTGCAGGTTGCATTATGACTTCAGAGATGTTACAACGTGGGGAAAAAAGCGTACCTTAGAAATAACGCAATATAGCGTGTCTCACAAAAATGACTCATTTACTGTTTTGTGCGTAACCTTTCCTAGGGAAAAATGATATGTTTTCTTTTTATAGAGAACCTGTTGCCTTGTTTTCTACTGAAAAGATGTCACGGCCGTTGGTGTTACAGGTACAATAATCTCTTAACTAGGAAGTGAGGGGCACAGTTTCCCTTCTGATCGCTGGTGTTGAATTTGTGAACACACGTCAACCATTACTCATCATCTATCCTCTTGACACCATTGTGACTTCTAATTTGGGTGTTTCTGTGGTGCCTGGAAGTCTGTCTTTCTGTCTGTGTCATCACCTCAGCAGTAACGCCTTTTGATGAAAGGGTCCGTGGTTGTTTTTGGATCGAGGATCTGTCTCAGCCTTATTACACGCTATTGCTCAGAGCACAGGGTACAATCCCGGTAACGCACGAAACGGGCTGGAAGCTTCTTAGGTGTCCAACAAGCTCATGGACACTTCTCAAACTTCCTTCGATTCCCCACTGGCTGACTGGGACACTGGTTTCAAGCAGGAGTCCAATCAAACATGAAACTACTAATTCACTTTACGGCTGTATCTTATTCGCATGGCTTTCACTCTGTCAGGTGGGTAGGTGGGATACTTGGAAAGTGCGACGTATGGATAATGTACATTATACGTCGACCTGATAATCAGTGTCTACCAAGTGTTGCTCCTGGAAAAAAGTCATCAGTCTGAAACATGACACACCCAATAAGGTGTTTATCTGTGACCCGGACAGGAAGCCTTTCCCTAAAGCAAATCTTACTCTGCCCTTGGGTATGTGTGGCACACGTCACCCACCCTCATGAGAGGCCAGGTTTCTTCCTGGTTTTGCTCTAAGCCTCCTGTTAGGGTGGGGCGTGTCCACACGCCCCTGGCTATGGCCGGGGGGGGGGGGGGGGGCCTCTGCTAAAGGGCTGTGTGAAAGAGTCTCAGCAAGGCTCAGCATCTGGGGACGATTCTCTTCCAGTGGGAAGGTCAGTAACGTCTGGGTGGGTGCTGTGATCCACAATTGTTATTTTTCACCACTGCTGATAGAACAGAATCATCCTGGGGCGCCTGGGTGGCGCAGTCGGTTAAGCGTCCGACTTCAGCCAGGTCACGATCTCGCGGTCCGTGAGTTCGAGCCCCGCGTCAGGCTCTGGGCTGATGGCTCAGAGCCTGGAGCCTGTTTCCGATTCTGTGTCTCCCTCTCTCTCTGCCCCTCCCCCGTTCATGCTCTGTCTCTCTCTGTCCCCCAAAAAATAAATAAACGTTGAAAAAAAAAAAAAAGAACAGAATCATCCTCATTTGTCATAACAGGAAAAAGTCGGTCTTTATTGGCTGAACTTATTAGCAGGGAGCCTATGGGAGGCAAAACGGTAAGAAATGTAAGGAAGGGCTTTCAGGCTCTTCCTCACTTGGCCGCCATGAGAGCAAGCTACTGGCCACTCTGAACGTCTGACTCCTCATTATGCAAGAAACCACACCGCCACTCAGCTCCCAGAATCGCGTAAACATCAAACTCTGCGCGTACACCATAAACTCTGTTCCTTCCTTACTAGTGGATGCATTGTGGGCTTATAGGCTCCTCGCTGGCTATTAGGAGGGAATAAGCCACTTTCTCGAATGCTGCAAACTGTACTTCCGAACCAACAGGCAGAGGATTCAGAAAAAGCACGGCAGAAATGGGGAAGGAACAAGAGTAGAAGTTATAAAAGTATTTCTGGTGTGTGTGTGTGTGGAATCCTTGTTGAAAACAGACCCCTTCACTACGGACGGTGCCACAAGTAACAATTCGTGGTCAACAAGAATGCTATGAAATTTTAATTTTCCTTTGAAGTATTTCTTCAGCTTGTTTTTTCTTACAACTGCATTCACGTCGCCTCTCATAATGGGATGTATGTGTGTGTGTGTATCACCACTTTGTATCCCTGGAATAACAACATGTAAATCCATCTGAAGGAGCCACTTCAGAAAGGTCACATCTGGCCATCACCGAGAATAAAAATGAAGGACTTGACGTAAGCGAAAGGAGAATCAAGCCAAACCGTGATAAACCATGACAGCTGGAATATTAATAGAGGCCACAAAACAAAAAGAGGGGATAGACACTCACAGGAGGAGCGTGTATTCATAACAGGTTGCCAAAAGCCGGAACTGAGGTAGCTGTCTCGTAAGGATTGAGACCAGCCAGTATCAGAAAAGACTCCTAGAGTAGGAGAGGCAACAACCTTTATTGGAATAATACAACATGGCGCACCTCCCAGTTGGGAGTGGACGTGCTCGCCCCAGGGTGTGGAGGGAGGGCAAGACGGAGAACCTGGCCAGGCGTGTGACAGGGAGACCAGAGTTGCCTCACACCAGAGGACTGCCAGGAGGTAAGACAACTGATTTGGTTGAAAAGTCTCGAGAATCAGTCAGTGACGAGAAGCTTCCAAGGGCCCCACTAGTGCCATCTTGTACAAAGAGGGCACACGCGGTGACCTGCGCTGCTGTGCATCTGTGGTTCTAAGGGTATGCGACTTCGCCCATTTGAAAAAGGAAAATTAATTTTCCGAAATGCAGACCCTCACCCTGAAGTCCCCGGGAAGCCTTACCTTCAGCAGTGCTGGAGAGACCATCGGCCTTGAAGTTGCTGGTACTTTTCTTCCTTCGGTGTTTCTTTCTGTTGGCGTGAGGGGAGGGGGGCGGGTCGAGCTTGGGGCTGGTGGTGCTGGAGATACTTGGGCTGGAGCACACGGAGTCGCCCAGCCCCGTGTCTGCCATCAGACCGGAAAAGGCAAAAGAACGCAAAAGTTAACACTCGAAAAGAGGAAGGCTTTGCAAAAATATGAAAGCAATGTTCCTCCAATATCATATCAGGCCCCACAGGTACTACGTTAATGTGAGATCACTGGGTTGGAGGCCCAGAGCATCCAGTATTCAAACGTCACGGGGCCACCTGCTCTCATGTACCGCCTGCCATTCAAAAACAAGGCCTTTATTTCTGGATCATCTGTAGGCTGTGGAGAACTTAAAGTTCTCTACTTTGCCCGACTGGTGTTCTGGAAAAGGAAAGTGGGGAGTTCATGCGTTTCGTTAGTTTATTTTTCTCTTCCCATAATTACACCGATACGTTAAAAGTAATTTAGAGATGTACAAGAATACATAGAAGGCGTCCTCCTGGGTGGGTCTGGTCCTGTGCGTGCACACAGGACGGAGGGATTCCCGATTCTCGTAACTTCCACCCTCAACATTAACACGACTGCAACACCCGTTTATTATTATCGAGAAATGGCACGCCACCTCACTCTCCCACCACGGCGGACCCGCCAATTCTTGATCCACTGAAGCTATTTAAACAATTTTAAAACCAGTGCCCAGATGTGATAATTCACTATAGGGGAAACTCAATTTCTTATGTCCATTTTCCTCTTTATCAGAGAGAACAGCAGAGTAGTTCTCTTTGTTCAGGGAATGAGCATGTAATTCAACCAGAATGAGAAAGTGCTTTGAAAAAGTGATGGAGAAACACAACCAAACACCCGCAAAGCCTGAAGGATTCATGATTCAGCATCTCGTAGCTCAAAAGACAGAAAGTTCGCTGCAAAGTACTTAATTTGTTCAACTAGTATGTTCTGCGCACCGACTGTGGGCCATGTTTGTAGAAGCTTGGGATCCATCACTGAGAAAGACAGAAAAAGAGTCACTCCCCAGATACATTAGAAGGTGGTAAAGTATCATGAAAAGGAGCAGGGCTGCACGGAGGCTGGGCCACCCCAAAGTTCCCGCAGGGTAACCTGGGAACATCTGATGGCATGAGACCCCGGAGACTGGTCAACAGGGTCAACAGGGTCCACTGAAACACTGGCAACCATTTCAAGGAGTCTCAGGAAGAGTGACAACTGGGTGTCTCAGGGATCTGCCCTCCCCCAAAACTGACTTCCCTCTACTTGCCCTCCCAGGCCAGACATCTGGTAAACCTCACTGGGTAACTTTGCCCAAGGAGTAGCAAGCAGGCCTGAGTCCCCTCTTGGCTGCTTCTGTCCCTGTTTTGGGTGAGGGACACAGACTTGAGAAGGCTGGGGCTAGAAGAGGAGTCTATTCACAAAGTCACCATTTCTTTTTGGTATGGCCTTTCGAGCTCGCCCCTGCTCTCCATTTAAGCCACAGCTGCCCTTGGTCCCGTCCTTGCCCCCCTGGCCTGGACGGAGCAGCTGATGTGTCTCTTTTCTTCGGGCATTCTGCCTTCTTTTCCCAGACTTTTTTCTACAATATTCATCTTCTAAGAGCAGCAATTCTACATATTTTAAAAATACTAGAGCCCACTGGATAGCAGATGAAAACTGTAAATATCCCAGAAAAAAAGGCTGTTCTAATTAACACATTGCACACAATTTCAGAGAGTTCAGAGTCCGCCTGGTGCTGCTAAGGGGTGTCGGGACAAGAGCGTTAGCTGGTCCTAAAGCCTCTAAGAGGCTCTAAGCCTCCCAAAGCTGGTCCAACCCTCTTAGGATATTACTCCACACTCACACCTTAGCATGATTTAATTTCTGTCCATTTCACCTATTTTCCGCCCAGATTTCAAAAGTCTTCATTCACTCTCTGACCATTAAGGGTTAAGAGTCCACCCTGTGTCAGGCACGGGAGAACAGTTGTCACAATGACCGTCCCCACTACCCATCCTGGAGGTGGATGAGGAAAACAGGCAATGACAACTGCCCGTTTACTATCTTACTCTGGCCCTTGGGCACCCACTCAATTCAGAGCACCATTTTCATTCCCAACTGTGCGTCCCAAGCCACATGTCACCCCCGCTGCTGTGACGCTCTCTCCCAAACTAACATTTCTCATCCCTGAACCACTGACCCCGAAGATGCGCTTTCTGCACGTGGACGTCTGTCAGTTACCTGCATCTAAGTGGCACGCCTGTTCCCTAGGGCAGTTAGACGCCCGTTTCCCCCATATGATACTGAGCGTGGAGAGGCTGCCCCAGGTCCCTCCCATTGTCTTTTTCTTTTAAAGTTTATTTATTTGTCTATTTGAGAGAGAGAGAGCGAGAGAGAGAGCGAGCGTGTTGGGGAAGGGCAGAGAGAGAGAGAATCCCAAGCAGGCTCCGCACCGGCAGCACAGAACCTGACATGGGGCTCGAACTCACAAACACTCGCAATCACAACCAAGGACTGGACTCTCAACCGACCTGA